CTTTGCGCGGTATCTCTCTACAAAAGACAACAACGAAAGCATTTGCGTACAACTCTACAACCCCGGTACCGTTCCTTGGGAAGTTTACAGCAACTGTCGAAACGCGCCGAAAAATTACCGCGGCGACCTTTTATGTCGCACAGGGTTCAACAAGCGGAAACCTCTTATCCTTGTCAACAGCCCAAGAACTGGATCTCGTCAGTCTTCACCTCAACAACATTTCCAAACCTTTGCCACAAAATCCTAATAAAGATCCCAAACTCAATGACATTCTCGAGAGAAATGCCAAAGTTTTCGACGGATTGGGAAAACTGAAAGGACAGACCGTCCACCTAAACATTGATCCCAATGCTAATCCTAAAGCTCAACCACAGCGCCGCATCCCTTACCATATCCGAAACAAAGTTAAAGATGCAATCATAACCCTTGAAAAAGACGACATAATCGAACGAGTGCCTGAAGATGAACCAACCCCCTGGATTTCTCCTATTGTCGCCGTGCCAAAAAAAGACGGAGGAGTGCGTATTTGTGTTGACATGCGACAAGCGAATGAGGCAATCAAAAGGGTCCGACACCCGATACCTACGGTTGATGACGTAAGATTTGAACTGAACGGCGCGAAATATTTCTCGAAATTGGACTTATCCCAGGCGTACCATCCACTCGAACTCGATCCGAAAAGCCGACATATCACCACATTTAGTACACACATCGGGCTATATCGCTATAAACGTTTAAATTATGGGACAAACGCTGCCGCCGAGATTTTCCAATACACGCTTCAGACACAATTACAAGGACTCATCGGAGTCAAGAACATAGCCGACGATATTATCGTTTATGGAAGTACTCGCAAGGAACACGATGAAAATCTAGACAAGTGCCTACAACGTCTAACAACCCGAGGATTGACCCTCAACGCCAGTAAATGTAAATTATTGAATCCCACATTGGAATTTTTCGGTCAAATCTTCTCTGCCGATGGCACGCGACCCGACCCTCAACGAGTCGTCGACGTCCAGAATGTGGCCACACCCACCACTGTCCAAGAAGTTCGAAGCCTTCTTGGTATGGCGAACTACATCAGTCAATACACCCTTAACTTTTCAACAATCACTTCCCCCCTCCGTCTCTTAACGAAACACGACACACCATTTGTGTGGACCACGGTACATAAAAACGCGTTCGACAACCTAAAAGCCGCTCTAACGTCAGCCCCATGCATGGCGTATTTCGACGTCCATAAAGAAACCTTTGTTGTCGTCGACGCGAGCCCTGTCGGGGTATCGGCTATCCTCTCACAAAAATCGCCAAACGTCGCAAATTCCAAAGTCATTGCTTACGCCAGTCGTGCCTTATCGCCCGTCGAAACACGTTACTCCCAAACCGAACGAGAAGCCCTCGCTATCGTCTGGGCTGTCGAACATTTCCACATGTTCCTGTTTGGACATCATTTTACGTTGGTAACCGACCACAAACCCCTTGAAGTCATTTACGGCACCACCAGGTCGAAACCGTCTGCACGTATAGAACGTTGGGTTCTGCGATTACAACCGTACCACTTTAACGTCATCTACAAACCTGGTGCCACCAACCCCGCTGATTATTTATCACGTCATCCTGCATCACCACGCATGTCACACCCGGATCGCATGGCTGAAGAATGCGTCAACTTCATTGAACGACACACTGCCCCCCACGCCATGCCACTCGACGAAATTGCCACAGCTACACGTGCAGATAAGACTCTGTCCACGCTCGTGACTTGTTTACGTACAAACAAGTGGTCCACCGACATTCTGACGTCATTCAAACACATCAAAGACGAATTGACAGTCACCAACAACGGCATTATCCTGCGTGGACATCGAATTGTCATACCCCAAGCTTTACAACAACGCGCGATCGACATCGCCCACGAGACGCACCTTGGTCTAACCAAAACTAAAGCATTAATTCGCGAAAAAATCTGGTTCCCGAATATCGACGCCATGGTTAAAACAACTCTTGATCGCTGTTTAACTTGCCAAGCCCTTGGCCGACCCGGCCCACCAGCACCAATCACCCCCACCACCATGCCTGATGGACCTTGGCAAACTGTTCATGTCGACTTCTATGGTCCTCTACCCACTGGAGAATACCTTCTTGTCGTTGTAGATAGATATTCTCGGTTTCCCGAGGTCGAAATTGTCCACTCCACGAGAGCCTCTACTGTGATACCAAAACTCGACAAGATCTTTGCCGTTCATGGCATTCCTACCCTTCTCAAAAGCGACAATGGTCCCCCTTTCAATGGCGAAGAATACCAACGCTATCTCACTGCCCTTGGAATAAAGGCAATCTTCTCTACTCCCAAATGGCCCCAAGGCAACGCTGAGGTAGAACGCTTCATGCAACCCTTGGGCAAATCCCTGAAAGCTGCTAAACTTGACGGTCGTCCATGGAAACAAGAGCTAAGTCGTTTCCTGTTGCACTATCGCACCACACCGCATTGTACCACTGGTGTTCCACCCTCTGAACTGTTATTTAATCGCCAAGTTCAAGGAAAACTTCCTATTTTGCAAAAACGCAATCTCGTTAACCGTCACAACGAGGCTCGGGAAAAGGAAGGTGAAAGACAACAATATAACAAACGTTACGCTGATGAAAAGAGAAACGTTAGAGAAAGCCCAATAAAAGTTGGCGACTACGTTTTGTGGAAGCAAGAGAGACGGAACAAACTCACCCCTAATTTCAATGAAAAAAGAAAAGGACTGAACGATACAGAGTTGACACTAGTAACCCTGAGCCAAGACGATCGACAAGGAATGTCAGGCAACCAGAACGATATGGCGAGGGAATTCCCTCGTCGGTAATTAGATAAAAAAAAGGGGAGTGATATAGTAATGACGTCATGTCATTCACTCGGCACCAGGACTATACGGTCGGAACTAATTAAATATAGATAGATAGGACACGTTGTGTAGAAGGAACACACACTAAGACATCAATTAGAACTGTATCGTTATGTTATGCTAAATATATTCTATAGCACAAATATATACCTAGTACTTAGATATTACACCGGTGGTATAAGGAAGGCGTCAGGTTGCGTTCTACCAGCTTTTCCTCAATTGAACACATGAACACGTTAGCCATGAGTGGACCGAGTGGGGAGCCCATTGCAGCTCCGTCGACTTGCTCGTATAACTCACCGTCGATTTGGAATAGCTGATGTTTAACTGCTAACTTTAAGAGTTCGACAACTTCAAATTTCTCAAGCTTTAGGTTGTATTTCCAGTAGAACCATTCTTTCTCAAACGCTTTGTCGATAAACCAACTTAAGAAATGTGACAACATCGTTATTACCAAACCAGATAGAGGAATAAGGGTTGTCGTAATGGATAAGTCCGAATACACAAGGTTGCTAAATGAAGCATCGATCAACAACACGGAAAAGTTCAAGAGCGTGAGTTTGGAAATACCAAAGTCGAGAGGAAGACGTGTCAAACATTACCTCCCCCTACTTAGAAAAGAAAAAGAGTTCGAGACAGCCGAAAGATTCTAAGCAAAGAAATAGCCGACTCAATTTGCCCAAAAGGTTTCCGCCTCGCACACCTTTACGGTTTACCTAAGACCCATAAACTTGCGCTACCAATGCGACCAATACTATTAGCAACGGGTACTTGCAACTTCAAGCTAGTAGCCAAGTGGTTGGATGAGAATTTGAAATTCCTTTCGATTAACAAGTACACCGTTTCCGATCCACTAAATTTGCTCAGCAGGTACGCGAGAAACAAATGGCTGAGGGTGACATTCTAATATCGTATGACGTTACATCGCTTTTCACCAATGTACCAGTTGATTAATTAAACGATCCAAATTCTTGCCGACAACACGTTTGAGAAAGCATGGTTCAACTGGAAATACATCCTAAAGCTTGAGAAATTTGAACTTGTCGAACTCTTGAAGTTAGCAGTTAAACATCAGCTATTCCAAATCGACGGTAAGTTATACGAGCAAGTCGGCGGAGTTGCAACGGGTTCCCCACTCGGTCAAATCATGGCGAACGCGTTCATGTGTTCAATTGAGGAAAAGCTGGTAGAACGCAACCTGATGCCTTCCTTATACCACCGGTTTGTTCATGATTCCATCACATCGCAAAGCAACATTGCTTCCGCAGAAGCGTTCCTTTCCACCCTCAACAGTCTGCATCCATCCCTTCAGTTCACTATGGATTTAGAGATCGATGGGGTATTACCTTTCTTGGGCACAACACTAATTAACAAAAACGGTCGATTAGAAACGAAAGTGTACATCAAGCCAACAAACACTGGCCTTATGCTCCATTATGATAGTCATGTAGACGTCAAGTATAAGAAACCGCTCGTCCTGACAATGCTCAATCGTGCATTCC